ACGGATAGATGTGGAAGGTAGTAGGGGCCCATACTACTGAAAGCAGAGGATCCGTACTCGATTCAAGAGGGGCCGAGGCGAAACCAAGGAACTAGTAGAGTATGTGAGAGATCCCTCAGCAGTAGTATGTAATTGATCAGGGATTGTTATATTTTTCAGCATGGTGACGTTGCGCGAGATATCAGTTGGCAGTTCAGGTGCAGGGGAGGGGTCTGGCTCGGGCTTTAGAGCCGGGCAGCTTGATGATCAGATGAGGGATTTCATTTCCGCAGAGATTATGCGCAACATCATCGATCAGACTCCAGTGATTTTCGGTTCAGTTAGAGAGGCTATTGTGGAGCTCATGGACAGTCATCTTGAGGCCTTTAGGGCCGGATTAGTTTCAGGATAGATTGGGGCTCGTCTAGGTCCCGAATCCTATGGAGTTCAGGGATCCATCAGGGAGGGAGATCCCATTTCTAGTTTCTGCTATCAGGGGGCAGGGGTGTGTGGGGCATTCTGTCTCCAAGAGAAACCATTGCATGATTGGATAGTTGAGGAAGTTTCGCGAGCCATTCGCGAGGGTCTGCCAGACATGGTCGTGAGGATCACTGATAGATTGATAGCGAGGCTTCAGGATCAGACATCTGTTGTTCAGTCAGCAGACGTTACCAAGGGGTAACACAGGAGCGAGAGTCGGGCAGGGAGTCGGAAGGGAAGAGGAAAATGGATGAGACTCAGGCTGCCACAGGTTCGAGTAAGAGGCCCAAGAGTTCAGATTTGAGGACGAGGAACTATCAGAGCCGCAGTCGATGCGGGAAGTGCGGGAGGACGCACATGGGTGTGTGTAGGCGTAGAAGTGGTGGCGATGCTGGGTGTTTCAAGTGCGGCCAGATTGGTCATTTTAGCAGAGACTGTGTTGTTACCATCGCCCAGGGACTTGATCCGTTGTGTTTCCATTGCAGTCTGAGGGGCCACAAGAAGGCCCACTGTCCGAGTTTGTATTCAGCAGGGCAGGCGCCAGCTCCTGCCCTTGGAACTTCAAGTACCGTCAGTGGTTGTCAAGGCCGGGCAAGGGTGCCTACGGCTCGGAGCCGAGTTTCTCCGGTAGATTTCAGCAGGGATTCGAGCAGCACTGAGTAATGGAGGTATGTAACTTTGTGTTTGTCAGCTTATGTTATGATTATATTGTTATGGTTTTTGCATCAATTGTGGTATAAGTGTTGTGTTATGGAGTGGCTTGCTTGTGATTACGTCATATGCCATTTTCATACCTCGGATAATTGGTTGGTAGTTAGGGGATGTGCTCATATGGAGAAGTTTCGGAGGATGCAGTAACTGTAGCATGGTAGGGAGAGATCTGGATCGTTTCGCTAGTTCGGAGTGGATAGTGGGTTGGATGGAATGGTCAAATTCCTACCTGGCGGGCTTGGGTTCCCCAGTAGAAGTTTTGGAATGGTAGTAAAGGATCGGGATCTCTTTTGAGTGTGAAGCCGCAAGGGTTAAGCAGGATCGAAGTGGGTCGGGAACCCTCCGGGTATATTTGGATAAGAGTCTCGTAGACTCAGAATGAGTGCGCGGCCTCTAAGAAGAAATGGTAGTAGCTCAGTGATGGATGGATTGAGAAGTTCAGAATTAGGAGTTCGAGAACTTTTCCCAGCAGTTAGTTCATGTAATCGAGATGGTTAGAAGCTGGTTGGGAATCCAAGATTGAGGGCCACCTGTCGGACGCATGAGAGTCGGAATGAAGACCCTGAGAACGGGTAGCAGGAGATGTTTTAGCATTGGTAGCCAGTGTCTGAGGCAGCATGCAGATTGCGTAGATTCAGGAGTTGGGAGGTTGGAAACTTCCCAACAATAGCTTCTTGTATTCAGATTAGTAGACGGTTGGTTTGGGAACCAAGCCGGAGAATTCCTCGACGAAGCACTAAGTATATCAAGGATATAAGATGTCGAGGATGATGCAGAATTCAAAGACTGAGGGCTGGTGTGAGAAATCGGGATGAAGAATCACTAGCGGGACTAGGGATAGTCAGGATGTCCTCGGGATGGTAGTAGTAGAGTGTTGTAAGTCTGCGGGGGTAGCCGTAGCATTCACTAGTAGTCAGATAGTAGTAGAGTGTTGTAAGTCTGCGGGGGTAGCCGTAGCATTCACTAGTAGTCAGATAGTAGTAGAGTGTTGTAAGCCTGCGGGGGTAGCCGTAGCGTTCATTAGCAGCCAGATAGTATTTGAGACTTGTGAATCCGCGGGTGTAGCCGTGGCTTTTATCAGATTGGTAGCAGCATGAGCGCGTGGCTGAACGCGGGAATGTAGTAATTCCCACCCGTTCGGGTGCAGCGGTGGGAATATGGGAATCCACGAGTTAGATTACGGATTTCCCAAATGGTTCAGTTATGGTTAAGTCAGCAATTTGGCTATAGATCATCACATCAGTTATGAGATCAGAGTAGCAGTGGACCGTTGAGGTTCGGGTATGTTAAGGGCTACCGTCAGTCTGGGAACCATCATGTTGATAGTCATAGAATGGATGATGTCAGGATGTGAAGTATGACCCGATCGGTTGGATCGGAAGGTTGTTAGAGCCACAGTGACAGGATAACTAGTGGAAACTAGTCCTTGAGGAAGATTTCATTCAGAAGTCGTGGAAGCGACTAAGGGAGGAGTCCCTTGACTCCACAGTTGGGTTTGAGTTTAGTGTTTCAGGCAACTCAGTGTTTCAGCCAGTTTAGTGTTTCAGGCAGCTCAGTGTTTCAGCCAGTTCAATGTTTCAGGCAGCTCAGTGTTTCAGCCAGATCAGCGTTTCAGGCATTTAGTGTTTCAGGCAGGTTCGTATTGCAGACAATTCAGTGTTTGAAAGGTTTCAGGAGTTTTGGGTCAGTATTGTATTTGAGTTGGAATACAAGTGTTGACGGTATAGTTGGTTGATTGGAAATGACAAGTCTCTCTCAGCAGGATCAGTGAGCCTTCGGCCGAGTATAAGTGACATGTAAAGATAGCTAGGCAGTAGCTTTCTTCAGGATGAAGACTCGAGTTAGTAGGAGTTGAGTAATCAGATGGGATATAAGCAAGCTATTCCAGCAACATCGTTTCAGTATGAGCGGAAGAATGGTGAACAGTTATAGATAGTCGAAGTATTTTCAGGAGTCGCTGGAAGCGACTAGGAGATTGTGAAGGGGTGTAGTAACCGGTAGGGTTCGGTAACCCAAATATGGAGACGTCAGTAAGGACGGTCAGTATTAGGGTGCTCGGGGTGCTCGACACCAAGTTATGTCAGATAGGGGCGTCGGTGGTTGTTGGCGGTATTGACCCGTACTGGAATTGGCGGGGTGATGGAGTTGGTGAAGTATAGGACCTTCACAGTTACAGAGAAATAGTTGGTTATAGAACCTTGCCTTGGGAAGGCAAGGGATTTGCGCAAGGACAGGAAGGGGTGAACCCCTATAGGTTCAGTTCAGTACTCGGTGAGTACCAGAAGGATTGCCAGTTGAGTAAGTTGGGTCTCCAGGATGTTCAGGGTCAGGGTTGACCCGAGGTGTTATCTGCAGGGATTAAGGTTAGTCGGAAGGATCGAGCAAAGCTAGCAAGGGTAGGCAGCTGGTGTTGGAATAGTTGGTTGGGTTTAGAGGCAGCTCGCAGGCAGTGGGCCATAGCAGACTTCGAGGACGAAGTTTAGTTTAAGTGGGGGAGAGTTGTAACACCCAAAGTTTCGAAGACCAAGAAAGGAAAGAAAACCCTAAGTTTAGGGGTCGACTCGGCGAGTCTAAGGGGGACTCGGCGAGTCCGAGCGGGATCCGGGTCGGGGAGTAAGTGACCGACTCGGCGAGTCGACCAGGGTGACTCGGCGAGTCTGGTCTGTGCGTGGAAAACCCTAAATTCGGGACTTGGGGCCTATATAAATGTCTTAATCTTCTTCCCAGGGTTCCTTACTGCCTCTTTAGCCCTGGATATCAAACCCTAGCCGTCATATCTCCTAGTTGAGCCTTGGAAGGTGCTTTAAAGCTTGGAAAAGGAAGAAGGAACTTGGAGGAGCAAGAAGGAGCTATAGATCTGGGATTGTGAGTTCATTTTGAGCACTTGGAGGTAATAAACTAGTTCCTGGACCCTTTTTGCACCTAGATCTATGTGTGGTTGTTGGGGCTCTTTTGCCATAATGTTATTATTTTGGGTTAGAAGCCGGATCTGGAGTTGCTACTTCAGATTCAAGTGTTTTAGGGCCTGGAGAAGCATAAAGTATCAGTCATTGTGTTGATTTTGAAGTCCCTTGGCCTTACACCCTAGTTAATGGCGTATCTTGCCTAGATCTCCTTCTCTACACGTAAAGTTTGCAACTTTACGTAAGGAATAGACCTTAAAAGAGTGGATCTACAGTTTGGAGTCCATGCATGACTCAAAGGTCCTCTGCATGTATGTAGAACCGACTGGACTCGGCGAGTCCTTCGAGTGGACTCGGCGAGTAGCTTGAAGATGAGGAGGAACTCGACGAGTAGGATGAACAACTCGTCGAGTCGGATGAAGTTAGGCATGGACTCGGCGAGTTGGTTGAAGATTGTCTAGGACTCGGCGAGTCATGGACTGACTCGGCGAGTCGGGTCGCGAATAAGAAAGACCCTGAGTTTATGAACTCGGCGAGTCTTTAGGAAGACTCGGCGAGTAGGGTTGACCTGGAAGGTTGACTTTGACCAGAGTTGACTTAGTTGACTGTCAGACTAAGTGTTATATGTATATTGATAGCTCGGAGAGCTGGAGGAGCAGCGGATCAGGGGATTGTCGAGTAGCAGCCAGAGATTTATCAGTAGGGTTCAGCAGTCTCAGGTGAGTTTCCTTCCAGTAGGGACGGGTCTAAGGCCACAATGCCGGCCCGTCCAGTTAGCAGTAGTTTCCGATGCAGTAGTTAGCATGTTTGATGCCTTCGTGGCTCAGACAGGATTTATGTGCTATGTTTTATGTGTTATGTGTTATGTGTTCCGGGCTACGGCCCGATGTAGTATGCAGTATATGTGTTCATGCTAGTTGATATGTTATGCTATGCTATGTTCAGCCAGTTAGCCCGGACTTCGGTCCGATGCAGGGGACAAGGTCCCAGTCAGTCTCCGGACTTCGGTCCGATGCAGGGGACAAGGCCCCAGTTAGCCCGGACTTCGGTCCGATGCAGGGGACAAGGTCCCAGTCAGTCTCCGGACTTTGGTCCGATGCAGGGGGCAAGGCCCCAGTTAGCCCGGACTTCGGTCCGATGCAGGGGACAAGGTCCCAGTCAGTCTCCGGACTTCGGTCCGATGCAGGGGGCAAGGCCCTAGTTAGTCCGGACTTCGGTCCGATGCAGGGGACAAGGTCCCAGTCAGTTTCCGGACTTCGGTCCGATGTAGGGGGCAAGGCCCCAGTTAGTCCGGACATTGGTCCGATGCAGTGGGCAAGGCCCAGTATGTGCTTTATATGTTTTTGCATGGTATGTGTTAGATTGGGGGAGCTCACTAAGCTTCGTGCTTACGGTTTTCAGTTTTGGTTTCAGGTACTCAGTTTTCCAAAGAGGAGCTCGGGGAGATTGCAGTGCACACACCATAGTCAGTTAGCCTGGGAATGTTTGACTCTGATAATGATATTATGTTTTCGATTAATACTCGAGAATTTATGTTATGACTTATGATACAGTTTTTATAAATATGATTCTAGTAATGTTTTTAAAGAAATTTTTAGTCGTGATTTTTGGGTCGTTACAAGTAGAGTCGCGACTTTGTCACGTGTTAAGTTGCCGACTCGGCGAGTCAGTGAGATGGACTCGGCGAGTAGGCGCTGAGTGGAGAAAACCCTAATTCTCGGGGTTGAGCCTTCTATAAAGATCATTATGTTTTCCTCCCAGCCTCTTTATCACCCCTTGAGCCCCAGAAAACCCTAAATCATGGAGAAGCACCATTGTTGAGTGGATTGGAGCTCGGAGAAATAATTGTTGAAGGAATTTTGGGAGATTGAAGGCTTGGAGCAAGGGGCTTTGCTTGGATTCGAATTACATTGCAGTTGGGGCATCACTTAGAGGTAATATCTCATTATTGAGCTGTTGTTATGTTGTTTCTTCATTTTGGGGTTTGTGAGAATTTGTCTATGGATGAAATGGGATGTCTAGAGGTTAGATATGAGGTTGCTGCCTCAGATCTGGAAGGGAGAAGAATCAGAGAGCATGAAAATCCCTGTGTTGGAGTGTTTAGTGAAGCTTACATGTCCCAAACCCTATCCCAATGTGCAAACGGCGTAGATCTCTTTGGATTCACGTAAAGTTTGCCACTTTACATGATGGATGAGTGGTAGGAGACTAGATCTATGTTTTGGAGCAGTTGAATGGCCTGGAATGCTTCTGAACGGTGGTACTCGGCAATTCACATGGGTGTACTCGACGAGTTGCTTGATGATGAGTTGGGACTCGGCGAGTTGGAAGAACAACTCGGCGAGTAGGTTGATGAGAGCCTTAGAGTCGGCAAGTCTGTTCTTGGACTCGGCGAGTCTTGTCGAAGGGTCCAGATATTCTCTGGTTGAGTCGAAAATCGGTGAGTCGAGGGATAACTCGGTGAGTTGTGTGCGAGTGGACTCAGAGTTGTTGGACTCGGCGAGTCTCGGGGTGACTCGGCGAGTTAGGTCGCGGATTGAGTGAAGTTCTGATTATGGGAACTCGACGAGTCACAGGGTTGACTCGGCGAGTAGGGTCAGTCAGGGGTTGACTTAGACTGAGGACTTTGATTTTGACCAAGGGTTGGCCGTTGACTTTTAGGGTTTGGTCAGCGATGTGGCCTTTGGGCCAAGAGAGGGGTAAAATAGTCTTTTACCCTTAAGAGGGTGTCATGAGAGGATGTATTCTAGTCTCTAGAGTTATATTCATGAGAGTATTTGCCTTACGTGTTAGGCGGTGGCGAGTTCGAGATTTTAGTGTGGGGATATCTGCTTTCTGCTTGCCAGGTGATTCTTCTCACTATACTTTACCTTGAGTAGGTAATCAGAGTTATGTGATCAGAGTATTTTTTATGCTATATGTACGTGATGTGTTGTACTGCATTATTTCTATGTGATTTATGCTGTGCATGTTATAGAGTTGGAACCGAAAGGTTCCCCAGAGTTAGAACCTGAGGGTTCACAGAGTTTGGGTGCACGGACCCATAGAGTTATAGCCTCGAGTGGCTAATATGTGTTATGTGTGGTATTTTGGGGAACTCACTAAGCTTCGTGCTTACAGTGTTTGTGTGATGTTTTTCAGGTTTCTTTCAGTATCACGGGACGGCACCGGCTTGATTGTACACATCCAAGAAAAAGTCATATTTTGGAGGATCCTGGTTTTCTATGCATGTGAAAATGGAGTTATGTTTTGTAATTCGACTATGAATAAGATTTTAAACAAGCGTTTCTAAGAATAAAATGATTATTTCAAATGAAAAATTTGTCTTGAAATTTACGGTGTTACAAGTTGGTATCAGAGCCTTGGTTTGAGGGATTCGGATGCGCCTTCGGGTAAATCTGGACTCAAACTGAGGAAGTAAGAAAAGTTTTTTTTTTTAGAAAATAATTTTCTAAAAGTGAATAAGAGTTCAAAGAGAAAGCAAGAAAGAGCAGTGTGTACAATCAGCCAGAGCCTGAACGGTGATTTCCCAAAATACCTTTACTTTTGTGTTATGAGATATTTATGATGCACTTTATAAGATATTATTGCATGCTAGAGACAGGCTAGGTATTTCATATGTTAGGACTAGAGTGGCCTGATTTGTGATGCCTTAGCCTAGGACTCGTTGTTATATGTGTTATGCTTTTGAGTACGTGATGAGTGAGAGTATCCAGTTAGAACCCATGAGGGGTAGAGTTACAGAGTTCGGTGGACTTTCGAGGATGAGCCGAGAAGGTGGAGTTATCACAGAGAGGGAGTCCTATGTATTCTTCGATGCTCGAATGCTGCTTGCTTTGTGCTTTGTGGAACTCTCGATGATGGGAGTCAGCTACCAAGTGAATATGATGATATTCAGGAGGTAGATGGCTGGCATCATTAGGAGCTCTTCAGCAGCTGATAGCAAAGAAGTGGGAGGACAACGGAAGGGCCTAGGGAGTAACCCTAGCCAGATGAGTGCGCTTGTAGAATAGAGAATTTCGCTGGGGAGCTAGCACGCGCGATGGGATTGGTGAAAGAGTAGGTCGAGCAACTACTTAGAAGCTTTGGGATGGTCTGTGTGGAAAGTATGGGTAGATGTGGCAGGTAGTATGGGCCTGTACTACTGAAAGCAGAGGACCCATACTTGATACAGGGAGTATTCTGAAGGTTCTAAGGAGCGGATTGAGGAGTGATGTTATGGTTCGGGTACCATACATCAGAGCAGATTGAGGAGTAAGGTTATGGTTCGAGTACCATACATCGGAGCAGATTGAGGAGTGATGTTATGGTCTGGGTACCATACATCAGAGCAGATTGAGGAGTGATGTTATGGTTCGGGTACCATACATCGGAGCGGATTGAGGAGTGATGTTATGGTTCGGGTACCATACATCAGAGCAGATTGAGGAGTGATGTTATGGTTTGGGTACCATACATCAGAGCAGATTGAGGAGTGATGTTATGGTTCGAGTACCATACATCGGAGCAGATTGAGGAGTGATCTTATGGTTCGAGTACCATACATCGGAGCGGATTGAGGAGTGATGTTATGGTTTGGGTAGCATACATCAGAGCAGATTGAGGAGTGATGTTATGGTTCGGGTACCATACATCAGAGTAGATTGAGGAGTGATGTTATGGTCCGGGTACCATACATCGGAGCGGATTGAGGAGTGATGTTATGGTTAGGGTACCATACACCGGGGCATATTGAGAAGAGATGTCATGGAATGAGTACCATGGTTCGTAGTGAATGATGTTTGTGGTTCCCCGGTCATGAGTAAGTTCGAAGAAGCGTCCATTGAGAGGGAGATCGAGAGCCCCTCAGAGTATTTTAGTAAGGAGTCAGTGAGAAGGGAGAGTTTCGATCTGAGTTGAGCGATCAATCGATGAAGGAGATGTCACCTCCTACGATCTAGGAGGTACTGATTATGTTCGTGTTAAAAATATGAGAAGCATGATGTTTTAGTTTTAGGTTTAGGCTAAACCCTGCAGGTCGTCATTGATGATGATTTCCCACCAGAGTATCAGGTAGCATGTGTGCCGCAAGGTAGTGATTTATCATGAGCAGATTGTCAGTTGGGACTGAGATAGTTGAGGACCACACTACACCTATTTGAGTAAGGTAGGAGGTATTGTGGTGGTATCAGTGGGGAGTTCAGTCAAGTTCAGCGGTGCAGAGAGTTTTCTATCCATGGGGTGTTGAATATGGGAGTGGGTCCTTGTTCTTGGGATGATCCCGGTGTTGGAGCGTTGGTTGATGAGTTGAAGTGAGGGGTACGATGATTTTATGGTTCAGTCTATGAGCCAGGGATGTTATTGAGCAGTTGAGTTGTTTGGTACTAGATTGGTACGAGATTTGGAAAGACTAGAGGCAGATGTGACGAGAAGTTCTTGAGGAGTTCATCAGAGGTTCAGAGTATATGAGGTCGATTCATTTCCTTAATGGGGATTATCGGGCGTTGTGTAGCACTTTCTGGGGACAGGTGCGATTTTGCTGGAGAATATAGTTATGTGTTAGTTATGTGCTATTTGGTGATGGTTTGAACCCTAAGTGGGGGAGAACCGGGTGCCGTATGTAAGAAAGCAAAGATTTGTCAAGAGCAGTTATAAGTGGAGTATAGAGATATGCGGTAAGAAATCATGAGACCAGAGATGTCGGTGATCGAGGAAAGGGGTCAAAGTGAGTTAATGCGGGAAGTACTTGTTTGAGAAGGATGAATGTCTCCATGACAGGTGTTTATTGGTCAGGAATCTGGTATTGGTCAGTGTTGGGGCAAGTAGATAGAGAATGATTGGGCAGCCAACTCCCGGGTCGGTATACGTATCCTTTTTGGATTTTGAGCGGCGGGAAAAAGGGTTTCGGAGAATTATCAGTGTATTTCGTAGCGTTAGCGTTTTCTCGTATTCCTATTGAGAAATTGGATACACCGAAGTTGCAACTTGGGAAAAATGAAGATCTAGTTATGGGGTTCAGAGGGAATGTATTATTGCATCTATATGGTTCTTGGGGCAGGAGATCAGTGGTTGTGGCAGGATCTTGTGATGTTCGGTGGGGGTGTTTCGAGGTATCCGGGTATGATAATCTTTATTTCGGAGTTACTCGCGAATCTTGAGTTGAGACGACTTGTTGTATATCAGGTATCTATGGATCTAGTGAGAGCCCTTCGAGTATGGGCATCCAGGGAGATTATTTGAGAGAGTGGATCTTCGCAAGGGTGGGCATCTGTTATGTCGATTGCCTCCAGAGTATGTGATGAATATTCGAGATGAGTATGGGTAGCCGCCTATGATAGTCTGCGGAGCACGAGCTAGTGGGGTCAGAGGGTGTTGTGATACTGCGGGGAGCCGTAGTACTCACTAGTCAGAGGGTGTTGTGATACTATGGGGAGCCGTAGTACTTACTAGTCAGAGGGTGTTGTGATACTGCGGGGAGCCGTAGTACTCACTAGTCAGAGGGTGTTGTGATACTGCGGGGAGCCGTAGTACTCACTAGTCAGAGGGTGTTGTGATACTGTGGGGAGCCATAGTACTCACTAGATGGCAAGGGAGTGTGATGATAGAATGTTCTCCGATCAGTGTATGATGTGGAAGAGTTTT